AACAAGAGGGCGTGAGAATTGTCACGTGATCTCGATGACGCAACAGTACTCTAAAGTCTTCTGTTTCATTCCTTATAACTTCTAGCGTCAAAATAATAACAGTTTAGCCTACCTTTCAAATTCCTTCTGGACTTTTTTTTCTACACTATACTTTTCTAAACATCTTATTTTTTCTCTATATAGTCTATTCTGGCCCTCACCTCTAGCTAGTACTAGTTTAAAAGTACTCCAACAGTTGAGGTATTATCCCTTACAAACAAGCCAACTCCTACTGTATCTAAATGTAAACCATCCATTACAAAACCTCCCTTTTCCTATTGAACAGATTCTACACATCCAAACAGCCAACCTGCACATCCTTACATATTACCCTAAGCCTAGCATTCAGCCCTAGTGACTTACTTATAATTTCATTACCACAAATAAGTCAGAATTGCATTATATTGGCCCTTTTCTCTAAATGCCTTTATTAGTCACTTGTACTTAACAATTAGCTCCTTTGACCTACACTTTTCTACATCATTAGCTCCTATGAGCACTCAGACCCCATCACTGCTAGCACCCTTTACTATATCACTTGCTCTGGCAGTTAAATCCACTACTTCTAGGCTTAATAATACTGTTTCTAACTTCCTGAAGGCCATTATTATCTACTGTATCCTTTGTATGTAAAATATTAAATTCTTCTTGAAATCCTGATGCCATTTCCCACAGTTTACCCTTCTCTTTATCTATCGTCTCTACTCTATTGGCCCTTTTCTCTAAATGCCTTTATTAGTCACTTGTACTTAACAATTAGCTCCTCTGACCTACACTTTTCTACATCATTAGCTCCTATGAGCACTCAGACTCCATCACTGCTAGCACTCTTTACTATATCACTTGCTCTGGCAGTTATATCTTCCACTCCTGCCCCTGGATAGCATAATCTAATTATTTTCTTCCTATTTACCTCACAGACTGTCTTATCGGCATGCCATACTAATGAATCATTTATAACTATAACCTCCTCATATTTTACATTCCCATCCCTTTCTGTCTCTTTTATTTTTTCCCATCCCATAGTCTCATCTGTACATGCTAAATGCTAAAACAGAACCTGTTCATTACAGTTAAATCCACTACTTCTAGGCTTAATAATACTGTTTCTAACTTCCTGAAGGCCAGTATTATCTATTGTATCTTTTGTATGTAAAATATTAAATTGTTCTTCAAATCCTGCTGCCATTTCCCACAGTTTACCCTTCTCTTTATCTATCGTCTCTACTCTATTGAGGATAGCCTCCAATTTCACTTTCAGTCAGCAAACTCTACAAAAACATTACACATCTTCACTACTTCAATGAAATTAGAAATAAATAACTTTCACCAATTACATACATGCTAAAACATTGATAGTGTATAAGATTCTTGTAAAACCTACATGTATACAAGTTATTTGCTGTCCTATAGTAGTGATAAATCTATGCTCAAGACATGACTATTTCTACTTGAACCAATTATGTGTCAAAATCTCATTCCTATAGGAGCTTTGTTCTATAAAATATTTACATTAGACAGTCATGTTAACACTTATATGAAATATATATTTTTTCCTATAAACATATATAGATTAATAACATTTAATGAAAGTAGGTGTTTAACATTTCAATAATACGCAACATTAACTATGTCTGAAGAATCAGACTATATGCAACACAAGTAACTTATGCTGAATACATCTTTATTAATTAAGTTTAATACATTTAAAATTATTTAACTTGTAGGCAGATTTTGTTAAACAAGACCGATGTCTGTAGGTTTACTTTCTTCTTAGAATTC